TATGGTTATGAAAGGGAAAATGGAAAGAATTAAACGATGGAATGTAGACAAATTATAAGATAGTGGCACAGTACAGGAGTATCAATATAATTTAAACTTAGAATTACAAAAGATAGAAAAAGGGCCTAATATTGAAGATGAATGGAACTGCATAAAGAATGACATTTTAAATACAGCAAATATAACTGTTGGAGAGACAAGAAGATCAAGAAATGAAGATTGGTATGATGATGAATGTAGATCGGTCGTGGAACAGAAGAAGCAAGCTAGAATGAAATGTTTACAGCGAAATACGAGAGCTAATAGAAATCTTTATAATGAAAAACGGATATTGGCCACCAGAATATGTAGAAAGAAGAAAAGAGAAATGTTAGGAAGAAAGATCGACAGTATGATAGAACACCATCGTAGAAATGAAAGTAGAAAATTTCACAAGGAGCTTAAAGAAGTAACACAAGAATACAGACCTAAAGCTGTAGCATGTAAAGATAGTCAAGGAAATCTATTGACAGAGAACCGTGATATTGTTAATAGATGGAAAGAGTATTTTAGTGGTATCCTGAACGGAAATATAATTGAGACAGGGCAGCCAACATATTATACTGTGGATAATTACATTGAAGATCCTACGTTTGAAGAAGTGCAAAAAGTAATCAAATGTCTGAAAAATGGTAAAGCACCCGGAAGTGATGGGATTACTGCTGAACTACTAAAAAAAGGGGGAGTCAAGTTATGGGAGAGAATACATAATCTGATATTGTTAATCTGGAAAGAAGAAAATATTCCAGAAGAATGGACCCTAGGAGTAATACAACCTATACATAAAAAAGGAGATAAAATGGAGTGTACCAATTATAGAGGAATTACACTTCTGAATGTAATATATAAAATCTTGTCAAGTACTCTATATAATAGATTGGTTGTATATGTAGAAGAGATGTTAGGAGAGTATCAGTGTGGCTTTAGAGCAGATAGATCAACGATAGACTAGATATTTGTATTCAAGACAGATTCAAGAGAAAGTCTATGAATATAATATTGACTTACATAATTTATATGTGGACTTCAGACAAGCATTTGATAGTCTCAATAGAGACCAAACGTTAAGCGATATTCTCCTATTAGAGATACGTGAGGCTCATTAGAGCAACGTTGAAAGACTCCAAGGCATTAAGAGTAGGTGGTGAGCTAACTAAACCATTTAATGTCAATATGGGAGTTAGACAAGGAGATGCTCTCTCGACAATGCTCTTTAACCTGACGCTGGAAGCATCTATTAGGAAACTTGAGATCTCAGGACATATAGGCATCAAATCAATACACGTGAGTGCATATGCAGATGATATAGCTATTATTAGCAGAAATAAAGATGCACTGGAAGAAACAGTATTAAAATTGATAGAAGAAACAGAATTAAGGGGGCTAAAAATAAATGAATCGAAAACAAAATATATGAAAGTTACAAGAGCAGCAAGAAATGTCACAAATAAATTGAGAATAGGACATTATAATTTTGAACATGTGCAGAATTTTAATTACCTGGGTTCACAGATTAATACTATAAATTCAGTAACTAATGAAATTAAAGCACGTATTGTGAATGGTAATAGGTGTTACTATGCCTATCAGAATTTAATGAAGTCTAAAATACTGGGGAGGGAACTTAAACTGAGAATCTATAAAGTTCTGATAAGACCAGTAGTCACATATGGATGTGAAGCCTGGACATTAACTAGCTTTGATGAGCAACAATATTTGAACGCAAAATATTACGGAAAATCTATGGTCCAATACAGAATAGTGATGGCTCCTGGAGAATTAGGATGAA